CGCCCACATGTTGCGCGGACTGTTAGAGACTTCTGTTCAGCACAACGCATGCAACTTCTTCCTTGGCCTGCTTATTCGCCGGATATGTCGCCTATTGAGCACGTGTGGGATATGGTTGGTCGGCGTCTCACTCGTGATCCGCGTCCTGCAGTTTCCAAAGACGAACTTTGGTTGCGCATACAAGCGATATGGAATTCTCTTCCTCAAGCAGATATTCAACATCTGTTTGACTCCATGCCACGTCGTATAGCAGCACTTATTGCAGCGCGTGGTGGCTGCACCAAATACTGATTTCGGACGCTTAATTTGTTTCTTTTGTTTTGAAAATTTCATCATTTATTTGTATCAGTACAAGTCGTTTCTGCATTAAATTTCATTTGATTCTGATGATTCTTTCATGGTGTTGCATTTTCTACAAACAGCAGTTTACTTCAGATCGATGAATGATGTGTTTGAGAAGATATAGTTAAAAGGTGCCTCATGATATATTTAAGTTAACATGTCTTATATACTATTGAATAGGTATTTAATACTAGGGAGCTAAGCCCCCTGTTCGCTACCGCTCACCAACACCGATGATTGCTTCGCAATAATCGTTTTTTCTTAGCAGAAAACAGTTTTTCTACTAAAGTTAAAATTATTCACTTAACATATATGTACTAAAAGGAATTCTGTTTGCTTACGCTTGCGCCTCCACTTCCCTCGTCCAAATATAACTATTAATCAGTATTATAAACATTTAGATCTCTTAGTGAACAGAAGTGATTTTTCGAAGTAGTCATTTTTTAAAATAACATTTATATTCTTATAACATTAAAATTGTTCAAATAAATTTGATGAGTTCAAACCATAATTGGGTATACTATAGCCTACGTCACAGATCGTGTTATTCCTACTAAATTTAACTAGTAAACAGCATTTTCTGCGAGCCTGATTTCTAGCAACAAGTAAAAGCATCAAACGAAGTGTCTTGTTTATAAGTCGCTACACACCAGGTTGGAATTGTATTAGTCTAGTTCCTTTGGAAATAATTTATATTGTTGTTTTACCGAAGTTTATGAATTTAGTAAGCATATTTAAAACTCAGTTTATTAATTAAACTAAAAGGTAAATGTTATTCCTAGTAAGTGGAAGTAGTTGTGCTTTTTTCATATTATACCCAGTTTAAAGAAAAACAATACCTTTACGACTTTTGTTAATTTTATGCTGATGACAACTAAAACAATTAGAAATGAATGAGGGAAAACTGGATCCTACCACGTGATTTTCCGGCCAATAAAAATGTGCCGACAACAATCGAAAACGGTGTTAGACCATTATGATTTTATGTTATATAGAGATATATATAGTGGTAGTTACGTCACACCCTCACTACGACTCTGATACATTCCGCAAATGTTCACTGTGTGTGCTCTTGGTAACCACATCACAATGGCAAATCATTTCCTTTCATATGTTAAAAAGAAAGCTTCTTTCAAAGTTGGTCCTGCACTGCATTACTGCAGTATTACAGGCATTGAAGTTACATAAACCTACGAAAGACCACGTTTATGTACCTTTAATGACTATGCCAACAACACTATAGGAATGTATCACTCCAACTTTGAGACAGATTTCGAAAGAAACATGCTGCGGGGTGCTGCAAAAAGAATTTGGACAAAGTTATGGATGGTTGACTGAATGTAAACAATAACAAGCTTCCTAAAAATGGAAGAAATTTAGAAAACTTCTGCTGTATCCTTCCGCTTATGCTTACGAGTCGATGTGTAAACAGGCCTAATATTCTAGGAAGTTTTATTAATGGGATTTGTGTTAAAATTTAAGCGTAATTTTACCATTCGTAACAGTCTTCTGTGATTTATAAGTTCTAACAGGTCGTGATAGCCTAAAACTAATTTAACAAAATTAATATCACAGCTTAAATAAAGTGTAAGGTTAACCATGGTTTAAATGTCATGGTCTCCTATTTGGCTATATTTGTGTAAAATAGCACAACATCAAAGATTGTAGCTCG